TCTAACCCATTAAAGCTAGATATAAAATATAATACAGATTTAAATAGATTTATTAATAAAAAAAGATTTAAAGATGCTTGGAGAGAGTTAAATGGGAACCAGAAAAGTTATACATTTTATTCAAATAGATATAAAAATTTTAGAAAAATATATTATATATTTGTAACACCAGAAATAATGTCTAATCTAGTTAATGCAGATATAAAAGTAATTAAAAGTAATTAAAGTGTTTTCTCAGCCAGTCTGTGCTTTGTGTATGGGGGTGAAGCTCACTGCATTTTATTATTTAATATTATGAATATTGTTAAGTAACTTTGATTTTGTATTGCTCTGCTGTTAATATTGTATTTGAATTTGTATTTGCTATGAGTTTAGTATTGCATTTATATTGATTTTGTATTTTGTAAATTTTTGATCAAGTATTCTTGAAAAGAAGCAAAGCAGTAGACTAACTTGAATTACATATTGTGCTCGAAAAGTCAGTTGTATTCAATTACATTTAATTTCAATATTTTATTCTGGTATTAGCATTTTTTATTACTCAGTTTCTGGTTATTTTAGAGAATTTTCATTTTTGGTACTATGTTTAAAAACTAATACCCAAAATACTATATTATGTATATAATGGCTTTTTATTTTTGCCTCAGCAGTCCCAAAATAATTTTTCTATTATTGCTGGTCCCCAACTGAAAAAGGCTGAAAACCACTGTTCTAGATGAGCTTCACTAGTATGAAATAAAATTGAACTTGATATGGAAAAACAGTTTTGCAACTGAGGAGTGTTTTAAAGGCTGTTTATGATATGGCATGATAGGTCGGACCATCATTATTAAAAAAAAAAAAAAAGCAAGCAATTATTTTCAGGCGGTTGTGCAGTTGTTCTTTTGATTCCAAGTGCCATTTTACTTTCTCTGATATTTTACAGCTGTGGTTACCTCCATAATGCATGCAAGCTGCTCCATTTCATTCTCACCAGAAAAGAGTGGAAATCCTGCGTAGAGTTCAGCCGTGATACACCCTAAGCTCCACATATCAATGGGGGTTGCATAGGGATGTCCAAGAATAACTTCTGGGGAACAATAAAATCAACTCTGGATGTATGTATACACTATAATAAAAAAGGCAGAAATACACAAAGGAAAAAGAAATCAAGATGGGGCAGAGCAGTACAAGAGAAAAGCACTTAATTTTCTTTTGTTCAGTGTGTCACCTGATACTAATCTACAATTCTGCCAATGTAAGCACTACTACCTTTTTCTCTACTCTGCTCTTGCATGAGACTTTGTTTTTCCAATGCATGCTAGAGATGCTGCCTTATCTGTGACTTTTACATTTTCAAAGGAGATTATGAATCATAGAATAGCAGAGCTGGAAGGGGCCATGAAGGCCATCTGGTCCAAACCCTGCTGTTGCAGGACACCAAGTTACACCATCCCACACAGATGGCTGTCCAGTTTCTTTTTAAATGTCTCTAGTGTGGGAAAGCCCACCACCTTTCCACCTCTACAACTTATCTTGTAAATCCAGCCTGAATCTGGGTTGTCGCAACTTGAATTGATTATTCCGAGTCCTACACTCTGGTATCAGTGAGAAGAGATCTTGACCTTCCTCTTTGTGACATCCTTGAGGTACTTATAAGGTGATATCATGTCCCTGCTCAGCCTTCTCTTCTTAAGGCTGAACATGCCCAGTTCTCTCAGTCTCTCCTCATAGGGCAGTGTTTCCAAATCCTGGATCATTTTTGTTGTCCTCCTCTAGACCCTTTTTCTTCTTTGCATGCATCTTTTTAAAATCTTGGTGCCCAGAACTGGACACAGTATTCCATATGAGGTCTGACTAGTGAAGAGTATAGAGGAACAACTACTTGTGATTTGGAAGTAATACTTCTGCTAATACATCCCAAAATAGCATTTGCCCTTTGGGCGGATGCATTGCACTCTTGGCTAATGTTTAGCCTATTGTCTACAATTACACTAAGAGCTTTTTCTTTCCCAGTTCTGTTGAGCCATGTATTCCCCATCTTGTATTGATGCATTTCATTTCTCATTCATAGATGGACTTGACACTTGTCAGAATTGTCTCTTATTCCCCTTAAGAGGTACCTCTTAGCTGGCTGGGGTCTAGACATGTCCCTTCTGCATGGACAGCCTTGGGGGCAGCTGGCATATTGGGGATTCTGGATGCTAGACTGTTGTCTACCTGACAAACTATAGTATGGGTTGTGATGATTCCATGGCCACTTACATTGTTGGGGTGTGTGGAAGCCAATACCCATTTGTCGAGTTGTCAACCTCGCCTTCTGAATGGTGTCCAGCTTCTCATCAGTTCGGGTATGGAAGAGGCCCTCTCCATCAAATGGCATTGACTCTAAGCGGGACTGTCTCTCTTGTGGAATATTCATCTTCTGAAGCCATGCATGTCAACGGAAAGCTACTGCACTGACTAGGGCCCTCAAATCAGAGTCAGTGTGATGATGCACCATGGCAATTTGCTCTTTGAACAGCTGCATGCCTTCAGCTAGGAAGACTCTGGTGAGAGACCATCCCCTCAGAAGCTCTGTCAAAAGCTATACATTTTGTCCATTTGTGCTGCACATTGAACCCTGCAAGTTTCCCCACGATTTGTTACCCTCTGCTTTCTGTCAGTCAGCCATGCCCCAATCCATGCCCCAATCAGACAGTGCATTGATCTATACCAAGAAGCCTCAATTTCTCAACCAGTACTTTGTCAAAGGCCTTGCTGAAAACCAGGTAAATCATATCCACCACGTCCCCTCCGTCTAGCCTCCTTGAAACCTTGTCATAGAATTCCACAAGGTTTGTCTGGAAGGACATCTTTTTTGTGGCTGCCAAACTCCCTTCCCTATCTGAGGTTACTAGATCTCTCACTATTATGATCCTTTCCATAGTCTTTCCTACAATGGACGTAAGGCTAACCAACCTGTGATTCTCCATGTGCCCTCTACTATCTTTTTTGAAAATTGGGACAACTAACGCCACCCTCCAGTCCTCTGAAACCTTACCCATTCTGCACAAGGCCTCAAAAATGGAGGCCAGTGGGCGCGAGAGAACTCCTGCCAACTCCGGAAGTACTCTCAGGTGTATATCAGGGCCTGGTGCCTTTGTAACATCCAGTGCCCTGGGGAGGTCCTCAGCTTCTAGGGGTGTGAATCTAATCTGTGCCCCTAAATCCCTGGCCGCATCTGATCGCCGATGTAGATCTCCCCCGTCCTGCTTTGGAGAGAATACCAAGGCAAAAGAATAATTTAACGTCTGTGCCTGTTCCCTCATATCAGTCACCAAATCCACTTCTTATTAAGCAGTCCCACTGCCTGTCTCCCCTTCCTCTTGCTATTTCTATGTTGATGGAAGCCCTTTGTTTTGCTCCTGATATTCTTTGCAAGCCTCAGCCCATAATCAGCCTTAGCCTTGCAAAGAATCTTTCTGCAATGGGCCTCCTCATCCCGGAGAGATGGCAGAGACCCAATGTTTCCAGGAGGCTCCAAGTGGTATGGACCGTTCCTGCGAGGTCATCTTTTGACAGGGCTACAAGGAACCAGTTGTCAAGGTAGGGGAAGCGTTGAATTCCTTGTAGGCAGAGATAGGCACAGATGATTGCCTTGCATTTAGTAAATACCCTTGGGGAGGTGGAGAGTCTGAGTGCAGGGAAAGAGAAAAGCTTCCATTTCAACTTGGAAGTGAATCTTATAATCACAGAATAGTACAGTTGGAAGGGGCCATGAAGGCCATCGGGTTCAACCCCATGCTGTTGCAAGACACCAAGTTATACCATCCCACTCAGATACCTGTCCAGTTTCTGTCCTTGAATGTCTCTAGTGTGCCTACCACCACTCTAGGCAGCTGGTTCTACTGTTGTATTGCTCTGACAGTCAGGAAGCTTCTCCTGATATCTAGCCTGAATCTGGACTGTTGCAGCTTGACTTGATTATTCCACGTCCTACACTTTGGCATCAGCAAGAAGCGATCTTGACCTTCCTCTTTGTGACAGCCTTTGAGGTACTTATAGAGGGATACCATGTCCTCCCTCAGTCTTCTCTTCTCAAAGTTGAACATGCCTAGTTCTCTAAGTCTCTCATCAAAGGTCAGTGTTTCCAAACCCTGGATCATTTTTGTTGTTCTCCGCTGAACCCTTTCTCATTTTCCTGCATCTTTCCTAAATCTTGGTGCCCAGAACTGGACACAGTATTCCAGATGAGCTATGACTAGTGAGGCGTATAGGAGAACTACTACTACTCATGCCCCTTCTCACAATACTTTTGTTAATGCATCCCAAAATAGCATTTGCCCTTTTGGCGCTGCATTGCATTGTTAGCTCATATTCAGCCTATTACCCACAATTACTCCAAAATCTCCCCCCCCCCCAGTTCTGTTGAGCCATGCATTCCCATCTTGTATCAATGGGGTTTCTTTTCCTTTGGTTCCTTTTTCTAGGTGAAGGACTTGACACTTGTCCTTATTCAATCTCATTCTGTTGCTTTCAGCCCAGTGTTCAAGTTTATCAAGATCCTCCTGGACCTTCATTCTGCCTTCCAAGGTGTTTCCTATTCCACCCAGTTTTGTATCATCTGCAAATTTGATTATCTTTCCTTGTACTTCCTCATCTAAATTAATAAAGATGTTGAAGAGCACTGGATCCAGGACTAAACCCTGTGGCAGCCCACTAGTTACCTCCATCCAATTAGGAAGGGTGCCATTGATGGGCACTCTTTGTGTCCGATTTAGCAGCCCATTTTGGATCCACCTAATTGTTTTTTCACCTAGTCCAGCTTTTCCTAATTTGCTTATCAGAATGTTGTGTGGTACTATGTTAAAAGCTTTGCTAAAGTCTAGGTAGATTGTGTCCACAGTGTTCCCTCTGTCCATTTGGGAGGTTACCCAGTCAAAAAATGAGATTAAATTAGTCTGACAGGATTTAGTTTTGGTAAATCCATGTTGGCTTCTAATAATCATTGCTTTTTCTTAAAGATGCTTGCAGACAGATTTGGGTGGGGTTTCAAAGTTTTATTGTTTTCTACTCACTAAACAAATGATTATTCCAATGACTTTAAACATACAGTGTACAAAATCTTATTTCTCTCTACAAATGCTATGTATTTCAGCCCAAATTAGAGTTCTAATTCTGTAGCCATTGATAGAAAAAGTCCCTTCTTTGGTAGTAAACTGCATCTTCTTTTTCCTTAAGAGATAAAGTCAGTCTATCCATTTCTGCACAGTCCAATATCTTGTTCAAGATCAAATCTTCAGCCAGTCACTCTCCTTTTCACCAACATTGTGCATATTCGATCCTCGCCGCTGTTATTACATGCAAAGCCAAGTATATACTTTGTTTATCAAGACTGTGGGGGAGAATGCCTAACAGAAATATTTCTGGTTTAAACATTACAGATCTTTGCAACATTTCCCCAAGCTATCTATGTATTTTAACCCCCCCCTTTTTTTTTTGCTTTATCACTAGTCCACCACATATGATAAAAGGTACCAGGTTTCTGTTTACATTTCCCGCACTTATTTGACATATTCGGAAATATTTTAGCTAATCTGTTGGGTGATAAATACCATCTATAAAACATTTTATACAAGTTTTCTTTATAAGAAGTTGCCAAGGTTATCTTAACATTTCTTTCCCACAACTTTTGCCACCTTTGCAATTCAATGTTATATTCAAAGTTTTGTGCCCATGTTATCATTGTTTCTTTAACTAGTTCATCTTCCATTTTCATTTCTAAGAGAAAGCTATACAATCTTTTAATCATTTTTTCATCTGATTTTAAAATTAATTGATCAAAAATATTTTGTTCTTTATAGAAACCATACTTTTTAAAATCTTTGGCATGTCTCAATTTCATTTGCGTTTGATGCCACCAAGAAAGATCAATGCCATGGTCTTGAAGCTCTTGATTTGGTTTCAACATTCCTTCATTGTCCAAGATGTCATTATAAGTCACAATCTTATTGAAATTTAATGCATTTGGGTATACAAAAGCTTCCATGGGAGAAAGCCATCTCGGTATCTTATTATAAATTTTTATCTTTAATTTTTCCCAAACCAAAAACAATGCCTTCCTAATATAGTGATTTTGAAAGTACCCATGAGTTTTACATTTCTCATACCACATAAAAGCATGCCAGCCCATTTGTAAATTGTGACCTTCAAGATATAAAATCCTTTTGTTCCTTAATGTTATCCATTCTTTTAGCCACACTAGAACACACGCTTGATAACACAACAACCAACCTGGGAGGCCAAAGTCCCCATTCCTTTTGGCCTCCTGAACCATTTTTATTTTAATTCTTGGTTTCTTCTTTTGCCATATAAATCTTGAAGTTTGTGTATTTAAATCATCAAAAAACTTTTTCTCAATTTTTATGGGAACTGTTTGAAATAGAAACAATATCTTAGGTAATATATTCATTTTAACTAAAGCTATTCTTCCCAACAGTGATACTTGTAAATTAGACCAATTTTCCAAGTCTGCCCTAATCTCTTTAAATAATTTGATGTAATTATCTTGATTCAATGTAGCACATCTAGCTGTTAGGTGGATTCCCAGATATTTGACCTTTTTCACTATTTGAAGATCTAGCTGTTCCATCAAGGCTGTTCTTTGATTCAACGTACAATTTTTTAATTTAGTCTTTTCTCAATTTGTTTTCACCCCTGTAACTTCTCCATAGTCTTCTATTTTTTTTCAGCAATTTGGGTGCTGTTACTGCAGGTACTTCTAAAATAAAAACTAAGTCATCTCCAAATGCTTGGAGTTTATTCCTTTCATCTTTAATTCTAGTTCCTATAATTTCCGTATCTGCCCTAATGCTTCTATTAATAACCTCTAAAATTAATATGAATAACAATGGTGACAAGGGACATCCTTGCCTTGTGCCTTTTTGAATATTTATAGTCTCTGTAGGTTGTCCATTAATTATTATTCTGGCAGTCTGTTTTTTGATAGATAGTTGCATTTATGAATTTTTTGCCAAAATCCATTTGTTTTCATTGTTCTTTCATAAACTGTCAATTAATGTTGTTAAACGCTTTTTGTGCATCTAAAAACAGTAATGCCATTTGTTTTTCAGAATGAACTTCACAGTACTCTAAATATCCAATATGGTCCTCAGATTGTCTCTAATTTGCCTCTTAGGCAAAAAGCCATTTTGATCTGTATGTATTAACTCTATTAATTTTTTTCCCAATCCTTCTGCCATTATTGAGGCAAAAATTTTATAATCCACATTTAAAAGTGATATTGGTCTATAATTTTGAATCTGTGTACAATCAGTGTCTTCTTTTGCTATCAAAGTAATATTTGCCTCCATACATGTATTCGGGATTTTAGCTTCAAATAGAACTGCATTACATATATCCTTCAATGAATTATTTAAAATTTCTTCAAAACATTTATAGTATTCCGCTGGTAACCCATCTGGGCTGGGAGTTTTATCATTTTTCTGTCTTTTAATTGCTTCACTTATCTCTATCATTGTTACTTCCTCATTTAACATTTTTTAAAAGTTCTCTGGAAGTTTTGGTAAGTTTTCCTTTTGTATGGATTCTTGAATCTTCTCAGCTGGTACCTCTTTAGATTGGTATAATTCTGTGAAGAACTTTTCCACTATTTTCTTTATTGTTACATTTTGTACATGTAGATGTCCTTCATCATCTTTCAACTTAAAAAAATAATCTTTTTTTCTCTTTCTTTAACTTGTAGGTTAGCCATCTTAGCATTTTCAAAAAAAATTTGTTTAGCCATTTTAATTTGATTAGTTAATTCATTTGTTTCTAGAAGTTTCAGTTTATGTTTTACGAGGTTCACAGACAGATTTTTTTTTCATAATTTGCTCCAGAATTTTTCCAGGGATTGATGTCAGACTAACTGGTCTGTAGTTCCCATGTTCATCTTTTTCCCCTTTCTTCATATAGGGACAACGTTAGCCTTTCTCCAGTAGTCTGGCACTTCTTTTCTCCAAGATTTATCAAAGTTAATAGCCAGTGGCCCTGAGAGTTCCTCCGCCAGCTCTTTTATGACTCTGGGTTGGAGTTCATCAGACCCCGGAGATTTGAATGTGTTGATTCCATCGAGGTGTTTCCTTGTCAATCCTGGGCTGCCATCTTTCACTTTCAGCTGGAATTCCTCTTGGTTGTAGATTTTCTTATGGGAGAAGACTGAGGCGAAGTAGGAATTTTCCTTGTTGTCTGTTATCACTCTGCCATCCACTTTAAGTAGCTGGATGCCCCCCTCTCTCTCATGTCTTTTGTTCTGGATGTATCTGAAGAAGGCTTTCTTGTTGTGCTTAGCATCCCTTGCTATTCTCAGTTCATTTCATGATTTAGCTTTCCTGACGCTGTTCCTGCAAATTCTTGCTATTTGTTTATATTCTTCCTTCATGGCCTGGCCCTGCTTCAACTTCCTGTACATGTTCCATTTGTCACTTTAACATTTTGTGGAGCCACATGGGCTTCCTCTGCTTTCTTCTACATTTTTTTCTCAATGGAATTGTTCATAGGTGTGCTTGGAGAATCTACTTTTTTGATATTTGCCACCAGTTGGACTACTTTTCCTTTAAGGGAATGTTGCCATGGCAGTTCACTTATCACTTTTCTGAATTTGTTAGAATTGGCTTTCGTGAAGTCCAGGATGCTTGTTTGGCTCCAGTTATCCTTTGTCAATTTTACAATTGAGAATTCAAATATCACATGGTCACTTTCCCCCAGAGTTTCCATGGTTGTTATTTTGTCCACCAGGCCATCCCTCTTTGTTTATTATTAAATTGAGAATAGCTGATTCTCTTTTTTCTTCCTCTCCCTTCTGCTGGAGGAATTTGTCAGCAACGTATGTCAGAAATCTCTTGGAGGGGCATGCTTAGCAGAAATAGTCTCCCAGCATATATCAGGGAAATCAAAGTCCCCCATGATGACATCATTCTTCATGGAAATGCTGGAAAGTTGCTTTTCAAATGTTGCATCCTTGTGCTCTTTTTGACTAGGTGGTCAGTAATAGATGCCAATAACTATGTTTTTCTTATTTTTTGCTCCCTTTAAATTAAGCCAGATGTTTTTGATAGGGCTACTAATTTCCTCTTCTTGCATTTCTGTGCAGATGTATGTGTCTCTTACATATAGTGCAGCTCTACCTCCCTTTTTGTCCTTTTTATTTTTCTTGAACAGGTTGTATCCATCAATTGTAGAGTTCTAGTCATGTAAGTCATTTCAGTCATGTGAGAAAATGCTGATAATTCTGATGATCCATAATATGAAAATAGGTATCCTTCCAGTCAATAGACTTGAACCTGTCTCCTTGACATAGCATGATACTGAATGTAAGGAAATCATGCAAAACTTCTTCAGTGTGTTGATGACTCTGAGATCTAGAATTGGGTGGGCACCAACCATCTTTGGTACTATGAGGTACTAGGAGTAGAAACCATGCTGAAGGTACGATGGAGGAATGATCTGTATAGCCCCTTTCAATAGCAACATTGCTACCTACCTCCACTGCCCAGACGGGATGGTGGTATAACCCTCATGGAACCAAGAGGTGGCACGCTGTCAAATTCAATTCGGTATCCTCTCTCCACTCTGGAGAGGATCTACCTATCCAATGTTATGGCTTCCTCAAGTGGGAAGATGGGAGGAGAGACAGCCATTTGACCAGATAGAGGGAGGGGGACTGGTTGGCAGCATTAGTCCATGATACTTTTGTCCATGGCAGTCTCTGCTTGGGCTGTTGGAATCAAGTAGCAGCCTCCCTCTCCTTTGGTTAGGCAAGTGACTGTTGTCATGGTGGATGAGAATATTGTCCCTGTGACCAGTATACAGTGTAGGGAGGCCCACTCCACTTACATGACTGCTGTGGTGGTTGGCTAAATCTCATCTTCCTTGCTGTTACCCTGGTCTTTTGGATAAAGAGCTGGGTAAAGAGTTGGTGTTAAAGAGGCCCTCCTCATCAAATGGTAGATCTTCAATCCTGGTGTGCACCTCTTGTGGGACCAGGCATGTTGACAAATTGCCACTATATTGATGAGGGCCCTGGAGTCACAGTTGATGTGGTGGCATGCCATGTGATCTGTTGACGGGACAGGTGGAGTACCTTGGATTGAAAGACTCACACCATTTCTCTGTACTGATCTTGAAGGTGTCTTCAGAGGGGGTCATCTTCTCCCAAAGAACATTTGATATTGTGCCCCCATTGCTTCATAATTTGAGGCACAAAGGCCCATTGCGTCCAGTCTGCATCTTTCTTTGCCCATGGGTGCTAAGTATTCCCTCTGAGACTATTACTGCACCAACTCCACAT